GAGGAATTTGTATCCTCAACTTCTTATATCTTATCTTTGATTTTTAAAAAAATTTTTTAGATGTTGATGGACATTTATTTTATTCATTTATTTATATGTGGTGCTGAGACTCGAACCCAGTGCCTCACACATGCTAGGCAAGTGCTCTACCACTGAGCCATCACCCCAGCCCCATATCTTGGATTTTAAGACAATTGACAGTTTCAAAAAAAACCTTCGAGGTAATGTATTATTCTATATTACTTTTGTAACATGAGTGTGTTTGGCTTTTTCAGATTAAAAAGAATAGACATGTATGTCAGTTACTCAGGGTATTAACCCTGAGGTTGGCTTTGAACTCGTGATCCTCCTTTATCAGCCACCGAGCCTCTGGGATTACATATGTATGCTACTGTGCCCAGCTCCTACCAGTATGTTTAACTAAGTACCAATCACCTGGAAACTTAGGTAGAACAGGAAAAGAATGAACACAAGTATCTTTACAAGGAGCCTGTGGACACTGGACGCAATGCAGGGAGGCGAAGATCACTCAGGCACTATGAGTCTGCACAATCTACTCTTCCTATTGTCACTTCAGACAAAGGAGTACGTGTCTGACTTTGCTGCAGCTTCATCATTATTGTCACCTGTTTTTTTATTTTAGTATGTTCTTAGTAATAATAAAAATATCCAATAAAACACTTCTTAGGTATTAAAAATATTTTTAGTTTTAAAAATATTATCTACTATTTAATTAAATATTGCATTAAAGTGATGTGTCAGTGTCGGAGATGTGTTCTGAGAAATTCATCATCAGGCACTTTTGTCATCATGTGAACATGAGACAATACTTTCCCAAACTAAGACCACTACAACATTAATAGGAGATAGGATCTGATGGGACCTCTGCCATACGTGCAATCCATCATTGACCAAAGCATCATTAGGTGGTGCATATCTATATTTCAAAATTACTAAACTATTAATAATATTTTCAATACTGTATGAAGGATTAAATAAATGTCTCACATTTTAAATAGCCAAAACCAAAGTTGGCTTATGATACACATTCTCTCTCTGCAACTCAGTGAGACCTTGTGTCTAAATAAAATACAAAATAGGGCTGAGAATGTGACTCAGTGGCCAAGTGCCCGCTGGTACAATCCCTGGTACAAAATTTAAAAACAAAAGTTCAATCCCTAGTACAAAATTAAAAAAAAAAAAAGATAAAGGTAGGAGAGGCTATCACCTTCAGTCTAGAAAAATAGGAACCATTCAGTTATTGACCTCAATTTTCATTTAAAAAAAAAGTCAAAGTTTCTAGTCTCCCTGCTGTCTTGACTGCAAATTGAACACTCTTAGAGTGTTCTCAGCCAGAAGAGACCACTTTACAGTGAAGAGAGACCAAAAAAAAATCTCAAAGGAAAAATAGAATAAAAGTTGGGTGAGGAGAAATTTTTCAGAGCCATAAAAGCTGGGGAGAAACATTAACACCACAGACTCTTCAAGGTATGGGCCATGTGTAGCCATTGTTTTGCCAGTTCCCCTGACCAAGTCTGCCTTAGCAAAGCTCTCATCTCAGTATCTTGAGAAAAGAAGTAACTCAAAAGGAAGTGTGGTGGAAATTTCCAAAATACAGAGAATGTGTTTGGACAAAAACAGTGAAGACAGGCTTCTATATTTAATGACAGGGCCCGGCTGCCTGTCTTCTGTGATCACTGGCTCTGTGTGGTACACTTTGGTGAGTTTATGATGGTGTAATTCGGCCTATGAATGAAGCACTCCCTTCCCTTCAGAGCTGTTTATTCTTAGCTTATGCACACAAAGAGCAAGAGAGTTGTCAACAACACATCCAGTTTATACACTGAACACTGCTAAAAGCCAGCAGACTCAAGTGAACCAAGAAATCCTTGTATCCTGAACGTCCTTCATTCATTCATTCACATAAGCAAATATTGACTCTGCACCTACTATGTGCCAGGCATAACAGCAGAAGAGGTTAGTTGAGGAAACTTGAAGAACAGGGACATGGTAGTGGTAGAGAAGGTAGGAAAAAGGAATAAATAGTTTGTGTTTGTATTAATAAAAGAGGAGATTATTTTCCTGACACCCTGCAAAAATCTGTGAAACTCTTACTCTAAGGTCTCTGTCATTGTAAAAGAGTTTACTTCTAATCTGAACCATAATCATCTGCGAGTGGGCTACCATCTTGGAGACCTGTTCCCAATCTACCCCAAATTCTCATAGTAGTTAAAAAATACTCTGTAGTTCTCTAAACTAATGTAAACCTAAATAATATACAACCCATATATTTCTAAAACAAAGACAATAATGACTTGTTGCTTTTCATGAAAAAAATGATAAATTTCATAATTATAAAATCACTTATGTCAATTTTCCAATTAGAAAATAAACAGATTGTCAGGCATGATAGTATATTTCTATAATCCAACAGCTTGGGAGGCTGAGGCAAGAGGATCATGAGTTCAATACCAGCCTTAGCTAAACAAGTCAGTGAGACCCCGTCTGTAAATAAAATACAAAAAAAGGGCTGGGGGTGTGGCTCAGAGGTAGAATGTCCCTGAGTTGAATCCCCCTGAAAAGAAAGAAAGAAAGAAAGAAAATAAACAGATTAAAGTGAATGTTGTCACAGCACCTAAATTCTAGTACCTTTGAAATAATAGTTTGGGGAACGGGATTGGAAAAGAATGGAAGACAAGTTTTTTAGCTGGAATTTGGAGGAGTTGTAAATCACTCTGTATCTTTAGAAATGGAACCTGCCCTTAAGGGGGAAATTTTAGGAGTTCTGGCCCATAGCAGGCTGTTTTAATATCATTCTGTGAATTGGGACAACAGAAATAGCACTTGCTCAGAGAACGTTTTCAAGTCATGATTTCTAGAAGTCATTCCACTTATCACTGCGTCAGAATATTTTTCTTCAGTCCATTAAAAGCAGGCTTTTCCTTTATGCTGCTTTCAAGGATTCCAAAGGTTCACTCACAATGTCAGACTACAATAAAACTCAGCGTAATGTGAACCACTCTATGATATTGCCTTTCCTTATTGCCTTTCAGTTACACCATTCTAAATGCAATAAAGGAGAAGGTGTTCTGAATGGGACAGAGAGAGAAATGAGTATCATTCCCTGAGTTGAAAAGTCACAGGCTGTAATACGCTAACAGCTTACAGGAGAATTTCTTATATTGATGGTTGGTTATGCGTGTTTGAACATCTGAGTAACCTGAAAAGCATACAAGATTGCCTATTTTGAATCATGATGGTTTTTATTTGGCATGCATTCCACAATGGGCAATAAAGCAGTGCCCCATCAGCTGCAAATGTATCAGGGTGTTATTCTGGAGAGCAAATCTGAGCAGCACTGTGTCAGGGGAAAGGGAAACTAGTGGCCACTTGCTCTGCAGAACAGACCTTGTGAAAATGAGGTGCTTCTTTTGACATAGTGGCCTGACTCTCAGCAACAGGTCAGAGCTATTCAGGGGGCTGTAAACCTAGGAATGTTCTCAGAGCTGCCAGTGGGGCCCCAAAGCATCTGGAGCAGTTTGCATACAACCTCACACAGTACAGACCAGTCTTTCTGCATGCATTAGCCTGCAGGTGAGTTTCTTAATGGGAGGGCAGAATACATAGTGCAGCTTATTTTTCAGGATCTTGTGTGGACTCAAGCAGGAACATCAGGGCAAAAAGCACTGATTTTTGTAGGTGATATTAGGAGCATTCCAAACACAAAAGTCAGATCTAAAATACTCGGAGTATTCAATGGCGATTTTATGTACAGTCATCTGTTTATTTTAAGATGAAAAGAAGGACGGCCAGACAATTCTAGCCTATAAATATCACTATCCTCAGTCATTATTTTAAGTGTTTCCTTTACCCACAAAGAAAAACAAAAGAAAAAACTCAAAGTAACATAAGAGTAATTATACTCATATTTTGAAGTAACTTATCTTAAGAATATGAATGATTCCTGTCCAGCTCACATCTTGGACAGTTTCTCACAGAATTCCCACTAACGATCCCTTTACCCAGTACCTAAAATAAACCCATCTATCCTTCTTCCAGAAGGAAAATAACAAAAATCTCAATGGTCACAGGGAAATTATCCCCTACGACATGAGTGAGTCATCTAAGCCACTGAATGCAAAAGCTGCCTTTGACTGGTTCTCTTCTTCTAGGGAACCTGCTTTGCTGGATTAGGATGGGAAAACATGGGCTTTGCTTCACTTTATGCCCCAGAAATAGCTTGAAGATTTGTTTAAAATTAATGCTAGAGCATAGTTGATTTTCACCATAGAGTTACAGCTCTGGACAAAAGGAAAGAGTTTCTCCTAAATTAATAAATACATTATAAAGTTAATCCATTTATTCTAGAAGTTTTCCAAATTTTTTAAAAATTTGTCTTCAATTTTGAATTTCCAGTTTTTCAAACGTTTATTCCAAGGTGTACAAGCATTAGAGATATAGGATTACTTTAATATGAAAAAAAAACCCTACCAGCAATTAGAGGGTTCTTTAAAATTAAGACTCTCCAGTCTTCCCAGTTGAAGGCAGTGCATTTTCTGACATGAGTTTTCAGAAATACAATAGGAAACATTAGTTAGTATAGTTCTCCATTAAAGGGGTCAGTGCTTCCCATTATCTGTAAAATATTAGATGTAGAATAGAAAGGCAAGAAAGTTTACTTATAATGGCATATATTGAGCCAAATTTAATTAAATCTTAGACCCATGCCAAAACACACACACACACACACACACACACACACACACACACACATCTACCTTACTAAGTGGTTATCTTCATAGGGTCAAATCCTCCCATGAAGACCACAACACAACTGACAACCACAGAGAAATAAGCCATCACCTCGGCAGACCCAAATATCCTGAGAAAAATTTCTAAGAAAAAATATACAAAATAAGAACCACTGGAATTTAGAACTGAAAGGAAACTGTATAGGTCAGTGGTGATAAAACTGCCATTTGTGGAATAAAATAAAAGAATTGGGTAAATCATAACACTTTAATGATTTTTGATTCAATGTTTGGCTGATACACACAAATATAAAAATTTTATATATTTATGGGGCATCATGGGATATTCACTCACATATATGCAATTGTTAGGTTTAAATCAGGTTAAACATCTCTCTTTAGGCATATGTAGACATACTTTTGATGAAAATATTCAAAATTTTTTCTTCTAGCTTTTAGAAATATGCTGCACCTTATTGTTATCTATAGTATCCCTACTACACAGTAGCCCAGCAGAACTTCTTGCTCCTATGGAAGTATGGTGTCCCATCCCTTCCTTCCTCCTACTTTCATCAGCCTCTGGTAACCACCATTCTACTCTCAACTTCTATGAGATCAACAATCTTAGATTTCACGTATGACTGAGATCATGCAATGTTTGTCTCGCTGTGTCTGGTATATTTCCCTTAACATCATGATCTTCAGTTCCATCAGTGTTATCACAAAAGACAGGATTTCTTTCTTTTATGGCTGAATAGTATTCTAGTATGCTTATCCATCACATTTTCTAGTTTTATTTTTCTTCTGCATTTGGTTATCTAATTTTTCAACACCATTTATTGAAAAGACTTCCCTTTCACCAATTTGTTGAAATTCAGTTAGCTATAGAAGCACGGGTTTGCTTCTTGGCTGATTCTGTTCCAATGGTCTGTGTGTCTAGTTTTATACCAATATCTGTTGTTTTTCTTTTTTAAGTGAATTTTAATTTTACGGAACAATGGGTTTCATTATGGCATATGCAAATAACATACTTTGATTGTGTATACTTCTTATTATTCTCTCTTGTCCTCTTTTCTACCTTCCTCCTGACCCCCTTCCTCTTCACTAATAATATCCCTGCAACTTTCATATCTTTCCACCCCTATACAGGGAAAAGATATGATACTTGTTTTTTCTGAGTCAGACTTACTTGGCTTAACATTATGATCTCCCATTCCATCCATTTTACAAATGATGTGATTTTACTCTTTTTAATGGCTGAATAATAATAGTCTGTTGTATACCACATTTTCTTTATCTACTAATCCATCAATGGGCACCTAGGCTGATTCTATAACTTGGCTATTATAAATAGTGCTGTAATTAACATGGGTATGCAGGTATCTCTGAAGTATGCTGACTTTGACTCCTTTGGATATATACCCAGGTGTGATATAGCTCAATCATAAAGCTCAATCATATTTTGATGACTGTAGTTTTGTAGAATATGGTGAAATCAGGTATAATGTCTCCTGCTTTGTTCTTTTTGCTCAAGATGGTTTTGACTATCAGGGGTGTGTGTGTGTGTGTGTGTGTGTGTGTGTGTGTGTGTGTGTGTGATTCTACACAGATTTGGGGGGATTTTCACATACTGTGAAGAATGTTATTGGTATTTTGATAAAAAATGCTTTGAATTCATAGATTGCTTTGGAAAGTATGGATGTTTTAACAGTATTGATTCTTGCAATCTGCAAAATTTTTTTATTCCATTTTTCTTTGTCATCTTCAAATAATTTCACCAATGTCTTTTTTTCTTCTGGTTCTGGTGATTTAACCCAGCCTTTTATATTTTTTTATTTTGAGATAGGGTCTCTCCAAGTTGCTCAAATTGGCCTTGAACTTGAAATCCTCCTGTCTCAGTCTCCTGAATTATTACACATAGTCATGTGCAGCCATGCCCAGTTCACTAATTTCCATAATTTTAATCATATATATATATTAGCTATAATAAATGAAATTGCTTTTTTGATTTCTACTTGAGATAATTGGCTACTGGTATATAGCAACACTATTGATTTTTATATGTTGATTTTGAGTAAATGTGGCAAAAGTGGACATCCTTGTTTTGTTCCAGATCTTAGAACTTTCAGTTTCTCTCTATTCTGTATATAAACTGTTATCTTATTATATATGACATTTATTATGTTGAAGTATGTTCCTTTTATACCTAATTTGCTCAGAGTTTTATCATGATGGATGTTGAATTTCATCAAATTCATCTTCTGCATCTATTAAGATGATCATATTAGTTTTCTCCTTCATTCTGTTGATATGTTGCACCACCTTTATTGGCTTGCTAATGTTGAATAATTATTACATCCCTGGGATGAGTACCACTTGATCATGGTAAATAACATTATAATGTGCTGTTGGATTCAGTTTGCTAGCATTTTATTGAGGATTTTTGCATCTATGCTCATCAAGGACATTGGCCTGAAGTTTTATTTTTTTGTTGTGTTCTTATCTGATTTGGGTAGCAAGGTAACACAGGTCTCACAGAATTAGTTTGAAAGAATTCTTTCCACTTCAATGTTTTGTGTACTTTAAGAATTAATATTAGTTTTTCTGTAAGTGCTTTTTTAGAATTCAGTAGTGAAGCCATCTGGTCCTGGGTTTGTCTTTGATAGGAGACTTTTTATTACTGACTTGAACTCATTATTGGTCTGTCCATTTTTATTATTTTAAAAAATTAATGAACATACATATTCTTTTAAAAAAAATAAAGATGGTTCCAGCAAGGCTCAGCAAAATAATTATATAACCAGAGTTTAACAAATTTTTATAACTTTAATAAACAGACAGTAGACAAACATTAGAGTTTGTAGCTCTCACTTTCAGACCTCTCTCTACTTTTTCAGTCACTTCCAGGTGACATCTCTATAAACTATTTGCATAGGCCTACTTTTTATTGTTTAGATATGAAGTGTCCCCCAAAAGCTCATGTGTAAAACAATGAAAGAATGTTAAGAGGTGAAATGATTAGATTATAAGAGACTTAACTTTAATCAGTGTGTTAATCCCCTGAATGGTATTAACTGGATGGCAACCCTAGGCAGTTATTGTGTGGCTAAAGGAAGTAGGTTTCTAGGGGGGTGCTTTTAGGGTATATATTTTGTCCCTGGAGACCGGATAATCTCTCTCTGCTTCCACGCTGCCACATCTTGAGCTGCTGTCTTCTGCCAAACACTTTCACCATGATGCTCTGCCACACTTTGAGCCCCAAGTAATGGTGACTGACATCTATGAACTGAGACCTCTGAAACTGTGAGCCCACAAATAAACTTTTCCTCCTTTAATGAGGAAAAGTTTTCAGCTCTTTTGGTCATAGCAGCAAAAAAGCTGACTAAACATTACTTCTCATCAAGTTGACTACTTATTATCATTCAAGTATTAGTTGTAGCAGTTCAGCATGTTATCCCTACAACATGTATTTCCATTGAATACTATCATCTCTTAAGACCTCAAAGAATGGATATTAGAAATTCAGATAGTTAATAAACAATGAGAACAATATTTAGTTCCCAAAGGGCTTCAAATTTGTGTTCAGGCATGGTTACCTAGTCAGTAGACCAGCATCAGTTCCAAAAGTAGATGTTGCTAGATTTTTTTAGATGATGCTTCAACAGAAATGAATGGTAGCCTTTGTTAGAGTGGCTCAATTACAATTATATAACTGCTAAATTATAATAAATTCCACTCAGGGAATGGCTCCGTTCCTTTTCCAAAGCAATATTTTCATAATGCAATTTTCTGGAAATGGGGGGAAAATGGTGGAAAGTGTGCCTTCCCTCATGAACATACACATCTTACTAATTAAGCCATGTGTTCTAATTTTATCTAAGCAAGCAGGAATGCACATAAAAGTGCCTAAATTTTAACATAAAATCTTGATCTAAAACATCAGCATGGAATAGAAGAGTAAATTATCACTAAGTGGAAGGTGGTAACATTAGTAGTTCAAAATTCATAGTCAGCAAAACAATGTTTACACAAACTAAGGCCCTAGGCATACCCTTCACTTGAGTGGCAGAATAGTGTGGAGCCATGCACCACACACTGAAGAACTTTGTCTGTACACAATTGTGACAACCAGTGAGGCAAGTAGCGAGAGTCACAACATAGCATTTTTAAAAGGGAGAATCATTCTTTGTGCCCATTGTAGTTCACAGCCTAACAGCAATACTGCTTTAAAAATGCTGCAGTTTCTGTGGCAATCTCTACTGGTCCTTTGAACTTCTTTAGCCCTTATCACTCTGGGAATTTCACTGGAGATTTCCAAGGAGCCAGCTACAAAACTCAGAGTCGTTCAAAGTTGTCACCACAGATTTCCATAGGTTATCCAGAAATTGTCAATCATGGAAGAAAGTAATGGAGAGAAACAGCTGTACCCTGAGACCAGACCGAGCTGGTGGTCTGGCAGGACAAGTAGACAGGTACTGGGGACATCTAGGCAACAGATACAATAAGAAGTCAGGTGGCAAGTGAACACAGCGGGGAGCTTCATGAAGAACTAGAGAGCTCCTGGGATCCAGAAACACCTTTTCCATGTGGTGTGGGGTGTGACAGTGATACACCCAGAGCTAAATACATATACTGGTCCTGTGCTCAAGTCTTCATGTGTGTTCACCTCTGAAGGCCACAGTGAGGGTTTGAGACACAGCACAATGTGTATTAATAGAAAAAAGACCGGGAAAATGATCTAGAGAAAAGAGATGGGGGAGACAAAGTAGTTGTTTGTGAGGGTAGCAAAGAAGAAAAGGAATGCCTAATAGGACTAGATCTTAATTCAAAAGTAGGGTAGATTAAGTAGGACTATATTGAAAGGCCCATGAATAGTCCAAGCCTTTTTCCTTTAAAAAACAAAATATTGCTTTCTCTGACATTCTGGATTGATGAGCTGATGTTTCTTGCTTCTCTCATTTTCCTCAGTCTAGAAGTCCTGTGAAAATAACAAAAGCCTGTTAGAACTATATGTAAAATAAAAAATGATTAGACTCTGTAAACAAATGAAAGGTTCTTTTCCCCTTTTTTTTATTTTTGTCTCTTTGTATTTCTAGCTCCTTTTTACTACTTGATTTTTTTAAAATCTTTTTTTTTTTTTAGAGAGAGACAGAAAGAGAAAGAGAGAGAGATGGAGAATTTTTTAATATTTATTTTTTAGTTATCAGTGGACACAACATCTTTGTTTGTATGTGGTGCTGAGGATCAAACCCAGGCCGCACGCATGCCAGGCAAGCACGATACCGCTTGAGCCACATCCCCAGCCCAACTTCTTGATTCTTAACTGTGGTCTCTATGCTTGAAATACTGACTTGTTATAGGATGCATTAGTGTGTCAATCTTCTTGTTCATTTCCTCTACCAATTTTAGTTCTGAATTAAATGAAGACTTTCAAATGAAAATGGGGGTTTTGATACTTCTTTATGAGTCAAGATGTACCTGAAGTAACTCTTTCTTATGAAGTGTGATGATAAAAGTAGTAGTAGTAGGTCACAATCTGAATTGTCATGAAAGTAAACACATTATTCAAGGTAAACGAACCTTGTAGGGGCTCTTGAATGTCCATGGTATGCATGGAGAGTGTTCCTTTTGTAAATAGATTTCTCAACCTGCCTCATGTGGGATATTCTGATGATATGTGATCGATATTATACAAAGGTATACTTCCTTCAAAAAACAGTTATATAGTTTCTCTCAAAGTCCAAAAAATTGTTTTAAGTATATATGTAATCCCTACACTCAAAAGATTCACAGTCTTACTTGGGTGATAAACTTACCTTCAAGTACTCAACAAGGTGAGAGAGCATGGATAAATGTCAAAACTGGCAAGAAAGTGAGGGAGCTACTGACTTCCTTGTATGGTCAGTGGATATTTCTCTAAGGAGACATCATTTGGGCTCTATCTTCACAGGACAAATACTTGTTTCTAAGGTAAACAAAACCCATAATGCTTTCTTGGAGGAAGAGAGTCCAGCTATAATCAGATTATGGTTAATATTTGGTAATCCATAGCTTGGCGTTGCTATGAAGAAGTGGTGTAAGTGAGTCTGAAAACTAGATGATGCATGAAGTTTTTTTATGTACTACTTTATCCTGTAGATGACAGCAGGCCATTGTAGCTTCTTTGCCACATTTGATAAACTTTTCCAAAGAATTAAAACACAATTTAAAAAGTTAAAAACACAATTTTTAGCTCTGTACCTAATTACCATCTACCTTCACTCTTTTTACAAGTCTTTGTACATTTGACCAATCTCCAGAAATATGGTCATAGCAGAGTGGCCCTAGACCTCTTATGAGAGATTTAGTTACTGATAGCAAGATTCTTCAGTCCACAAGAGGCCACTTATTTTATACCTGATTTTATTTCCAAAATGTGGCTAGTATTTTTCACCATACTCAAATGACATAGAAACCAACCAACCAGTAAAACATTTCCCAACTCTAGAAATATTCAGTAAAAGGGACTTTATCTTGCACATTCCAGGAAAACATAATAAAACTTTCATATAAGAATTTATAGCATGATTGATAGCATCACTTCTGTCTCATGAAATTCTCAGTATCATATGAAAGTTCAAAAACAAATGAGAAGCCTTCACAATCTAGTAAATCTAGTCACCTTGCAAAGTAGAGTTTTATGGCTTTGCAGAAGGATGAGGTGGTGGGAAGTGCAACTGTTTGAACTGGTTCCATGATATCTCTGATATTCCACAGAAGACCATGAAAGACAAATTATCCTCCTGAGCATTATTGGGTCAGAAGGTAAGTTCAAAAAGTTTATTGAAGAATATAATTATTATAAGTATGTGCTCAAAGAAATGAATTTCTTTTTAAACTATATACACAAACAATGGTTTTATTTTCGTCACACTCTTGGCTCTCGCCTTTCAATGACTATAAATGGATTGAACCAAAGCTTCAGAAGGATAGTGACAGTGAGAAGATCTGAGTGCCAAATAGATTATAAACTTCTGTAATTGGAAATAAAATGAATACCAAAAAAAAAAACTAAGACCAGAACTTCACAAAGCTCATAAATGATAAATTAGAATTTTATTTTCAGTCTATGATCTCTTCCAAGTACAAAAAGTCATTATCAATATAACCCTAATGAAAGTTTACAAAACAAAAATTTGTAAACTTTTCTGAAATGAAAATTGGCAGCAAAAATCAGAGCATATCCATGGTTTTCCTGCCTCCATGCTCTTATCTATTGATACACATTCTGATTTTCTGTATTTACTCTTTTTTTTTTTTTGACTGCTCATATTTTTAACCTGTTTCTTCATTTGAACACTGTATGGTAAATTTTTCCTTTCTTCTCCATTTGCTACTTGAAAATAAAGAGCTTGCTGTTGCAAATGTTTCACAAAGATTTTTATACTTCCTAAAATGTATAACTGACAGTAGAAACAAGACAGATGTTAAAGGTTATCACAATTATATTGATTTTCATTTTATTTCCATTAGCAACTTTTTTGTTAACTTATCAAATTATGCATTGTTACCTTGACCCATTTTTTAGATGTCTCAATGGATCTGAAAGGCAGTAATTTGGGACTTAAAATTTGAACTTTCAGTTGCTATATTTTTAGTACAACCTAAAGGTGTTCACAGGAAAATGTGAATCTAGACTAGACAATAAGAGTTGTTTCATAAAAGCACCCACGTTTCTGGTTCACAAATCTTTTCATCTTTAATTTTGCCTGCAAGAATATTGTTAGCTAATATTTTTTAACTACTTACTTACTCATGGCTAATGGATTATTTTTTTATTAGTGGGTTTTTAAATTCTATCTCTCTGCTAAGCTGAAATAATGAAAAAAAAATTAAATTGTGTGTGCTACTTCAACTTTGCAACATAAATGTAAATTTCTCTTTTTTACATTTCTTTATTATAATTTGCAGCCCAAAAGTTTCAGACAGTGAACATGGTATTCCAATTCCTAAAAGAAATTTTTGAGATTCAGGAATTATGAACCATGCCTAAGTTCTTGGAAACTATGTGTCTGCTATGGAGGCTGTTGGCTCCTGTGAATGGAAAAAAGTGCCACCGAGAATTTCAACCAACATGAAGCAACTGTTCCAAAGAATGTGGCTTAAGATTTTCAAAGACAAGTCAGACAGTTAATACATGCAGCTGTACTAGAAGGTGACCAAGAATAAGAATAGATGAATCACACAACAAATGCATTATTACAAGGCAGGTTTGGGTTGTCAAGATGATCTCAAAAGTTTTATATTTTTACCTGAAGAGCATTTATATTTCAAGAGAAACAAAGAGTAATATAGACAAACAACAAATTTTAAAATGAGCATCCGTAAATAAACTGGTGAGTAAGCTGATGCCTAAAATTAAAGGAATTAGAGATTATCAAAGTTACCTTGACAGCATGAAATACCTAAATCCTGTATGTTCTTTTAAGGATAGCACATATGACAATTTTAAATCACACTAAAATTCAACTACAAAATTCTTCCAGAATAAATTAGCTTCCAAAAATCAAACATTTTCAGAGAGCCTATAAAAAAAAGATAAGTGTGAAGTGTAGGCCTTCTGTGGAATCACCAAAATCTCTTAGCTCTTTATTCTTCTAAAAAGTTTCTCTACCGAAATATAATTTAGAGAACATGCAGAAAATAAATTTAGGACGGGCCAAAAAAGTAAGAGGCCTGAAGTTCCAATGACAATTTAAAGAATGTATATGTTATTCAACTTCAACCTATCTCTTCTTGGTGAACGCATCTCATTATATGCTCAGGAAATGAGTCTTGACCAATATCATTGTGAGCTACTTATATAAATTAAATATTCTACTTCTATAGAAAACTTTAGGTCAGCAGCAGATGTTGGTAAATTCCTACAGAAATGCATGCCCAGAGAATGTTGGTTTTTTTTTTTCTAAATGGCAGAAATCTGCTAGCTATTCCTGCCTTATCTGCAACAGCTGAGCAATCTTTCAGTGCCACGCGGAGACGGAAAACTTGGCTCAGATATAGCGTGGACAAGCTTGCCTTAATCACATTGCTCTTTTACATGTGCACAAGGACATCAACATTGACAGTACAGAGTAAAGCAGCCATTTGCTGAAAACAACTGTCAACGTTGTCAAGTTTTTGGAACCTCTTATAATGTGATTTGTATGACAAATCTTGTGGCATTTTGTTTGTCAGCAACAGTAGTGAATTTCCATGTATCTGGAAAGGAAGGAGAACTGTTCATAAGTGGATTGCGTTTCTTTACACAGACTGTATTAAAGGAAAACAGTTATTAATTTTAAAATGACAGATTTCAAATAGAACTAGAATCTTGAAGCGGAATTTCAGTTCGAATATCACATGAGAGTATGTCCCATCTTCGGCTCCAACCTTGAAAATCTGCAGTAGTCTCTCAATCTTCCTTTGTTGCTCTAAGTTTTGAAAAGTGTTACCATAAAATTATGGACCTTTCCCGAGGCTTGAATCTACATCAGTAATTAGTAAAGTGTGTTGTAAGTGACAATAGTAGGACCAGTCCTTTCCTCAAGAATTAGTTGTGTATGGCCATAAAGCTCATAAAAGATGGTGGTACTAAATTATACACAGCCTACTGTACACACCAGTGTTATTTAACAATGTTCCTATTAAGAAATGATGACAGAGACCTTATGGCTCATTACGTTTTCAATATTTCCCTATTTCTACTCTGTGATGCATTTTTCATACAGCTCTTCATTAATGTGCTTCATTGGTGTGTCCTCAGCCAAGGTCCTCCTCCATGTGGGTGGAGTCAGCTCAGACATACTTGTGCAACCGACCAGGAATACTCCCTCTGTGCAGATGCCAAAATGCCCTTGGATGCCTGATACTAGAATACCAACCCAGCCAAGAAAATCTCAGGTTCTTCACCTCTACACTAGTTATGGTTTCTTAGAACAGATTTGCCAAAATCTATTG